CGTTCCTCCCCCCTGGCGCCCCGGGCCCCCCCCTGCCACGAGCTCCTCCCCGTCCCCCGCACCGGCTCCTTTGCTGAGCTGCTTCCGAGCGGAAACCCAGCACAACATCACTTAGGTTTCTAAGCGCGGGCACAGAAGTTGTTCGCGGGCCAGAACGCCTCGGCAAAGCTGCGACGAACCCGAGGCCGGCTTAGAGGAGGGAGGAACGAGCAGGAACACGCAGCTAGACCAGCTTTGGCCACAGCCACTTACTCCTGTAAGTCAAAGCCCTTCCTCGGTCAAACATTTAAAATACTCTGGGCATTAACTGCAACAGAGCCATAGTTATTGCTACGCCGGGGACAAAGAAAAGCCGGGGGGTTTTAAGAGCCGACTTAACCAGCACAGGACACGTTCCTGCAAGGATTAGTTCATATTTATCTAACACTTTATATTCTCAAAGAGCTAGGCAAGCGTTATGCATTATCCCGTAGCTCAAGCTAGCCTTCCTCCCCCTCCACCAAATTACATGTATATGTTTATATTTGAGTGTTTTCTTGAACTAATAATTCCCTCCCTCCCCCCCCCAACTCAGACACTCCTTCCCCAGCACTGGGCATGCTAGCAGGGACTCGCTCCATCCCCTTCCTGCTCTGTGACCAGACAGGGATGCTCCTGCACATTCACAGCAAATCTAGGACACCTGCCTGGCCCTGTGCCCTGCCACGGGGTTTCAGGAGAGCAGATCTGTGCGACTTCGTTACTGGCAAGATATCGCTGCTGCCAAAGAAACAAAGGCAGAAAATTAGTAACCGTAACGACCGGGAGAGAAGAAAGTCCAGGCAAGTCGACTTTCCTCATATTCAGCTGGCAGACCCACTTCCGGCTCTTCACAAACACTCGGACCAACATTCACGACCAAAGTCCCTGACGCTTCTCGCATCCGCGTGGCGCGCTGTAATCGGCGGAGCGAGAGTCCCGAACAGCAGCCTTTCCCAATCGCTCCGTTTTCACATGCCAAGCCTGAAAGCAACGCTTGCGAGGTTGTGAAACAGTCTGCCTGCCTAACTGATCCAAAGATTGCCCAGAGCTTTGCTGATCTCTCTCTTTACACTTTGTGAGAAATGTTTTCCTTTGATTACCTGTTCAAAGCAGAATCTGAAAACCCCAAGGTTACCTGCTCCCAAAGCCTTCTTTCCGAGATATATATCAAAGCTCCTTGAGGACAAGCAGCAGCTCAGCACCTGTCCACGTTACACCAAGAAGCAGCAGCGGCAGCTCGGTGTCCTGCGCCCCAACCCCCCTGCGGAAACCGCCAGCCTGTGGCTGCCAAACTCCCGAAACCAGTCTGCTGGAGGCACAGAGCACCCTCAAAGGCTGTTAGGAAGTCAGGGATTTTCAAGAACACAGTAGAAAAAAAGAAAACCAAATCTAACACACACACAGGGAGGGAAACGATGCATCTTGGACAAACATAGTGGAAAAGGTCTAGCAACTCATTGCTTTAAGCAGCTGCAAGAGCTGAGACCTATCGTTACTACATCAGTTCTAGTGTTTTAACTTCCCTGTGCAGAAAAACAACTTAAGACTTGTACACTTGAAGAATTGCTCTTCCAAGATGGTTTTGGGTAAGATGCCTTCTCCTATGGGCTATACCAGCAAAAGCTTATCACGCACAGGAACAGCGGCTGTACCGCACCGGAGCCAGCTCTATCGTGCTATGTGCTATACAGGCGGACAAAGAGCTCCTCAGGGCACAGGCTAACAAACACACAGACTATGGGAGAGAACCACAATTATTGCTGTGAGCATCATGGAGAACAGCAGTCCCAGCCCACTAGAAACCTCCCGACAGGCGGCCTGCAGCCGCTGGATCAGTAGGCGTTTTATGGAAGCACCCCGAGGAGAACCACCCACCTGTCTGCCTGAAAGAAAAGTAGGGCAGAAGCACAAAACCGCTTGCTGAAAGCCACGGGGATTCGGGATGGTGTTCTAGACGAAGCTTGATGTCTGCAGTATATAATATAAAGTAAGAATAAGAAGTTATCAAAAGACTTAAAACAGAATAGCTAAGATATGGTGGAGAAGAGAAAGCGGTAGGGGAAATAGGGATGCAAGCTAGAATTTGATTTTTGTGGCAGGTTTAAGTGAGGCATACTAGTGTCCATCAAAGCCAAAGACGACTTGCAACTGATTTAAGCTAAGTGTTAGCTCAGGAGGGACTGTTTCGTTGCAAAGACGGAACAGTTTCTGCAATTTCATAACATCATCTTACAACAGTCCAATTACTAAGAGAGACAGAAAGCTGCTCCGGGATTCAGAGGCCGTTCTTGCTATGGCACTCTGCAACTGTGCAGTACGTTCCTGGAATTCAAGAACGCTCGTTAATGGAAATGAATGACAGAGTTTAAAAACAAACAAACAACCCCCCCCATGAGATACTGTGGCCATTAGACATTAAAAGCATGTATTTAACACATAATGCTTTTCACTCACTTTTTAATCACTAATATTTGTATGGAAAAAGTTAGTAGCTTTATTTGGAGGAAGAAAAGGTCTGAGCATCCAAGACTTTGGGGGTGGGGAGGAGAAGAAAGCCCTTGGACTGCACAAGCAGCACACTAGCTTGTTGTCTGCTAGTGTAACCTGCAACACAGCAGCTCTCTGAACCTGAAGGTGGAAAGCTGAGTATCAGCACTGCCAACACCCCACTGAAATAAGCAGGACAACTACTGTGGGCAACAGCTGAGCTCTCCGAGAAGAGAAAAAGTAAGGACTGTTTAAGTGAAAGACAGACCATTTCAGAGCGCAAGGGTTTTGTGGCAACCCGCTATCTTTTGAACCCCCAGAACGCTATATTTTCAAATCTGTCATCTACCAGTATATTAGCCTCTAACAAAAACGTTTTTTAACGTAAGAAAGTAATCACCCATACTCACGAACCTAGAAACAAACTGTCCCATAACAGCACCCAACATAAATCGCTGTTAAGAACTACTGTATTCAAGAGACCTTTGGTCAGTTCATCTTCAGTGAGAGAGATTCAGAATACACACAAAACAAGTATGCAGTGATTTTTTTTTTTTAAAAACATTAAAAAACACCAGACCAGAAAAGTGACCAGACTGCATATGCTCACTCATTTGATGTCCTTTATAAAAGTCAGTAAAAACAATTCTATTTCAGGCACTTTCATATGGGCTTTACAACTAGCTTAAAGAGCAATTACTGAGGCTGCCTGCAACCCTGTTGGCTTGCACAGCAGCTAGCAAGTTGGCACTCAGCACAAAATGAAATACCTGATGTATGCTACTACCAGTCACGAGAACACACAGCAGCGAAAAGAAGCCGAGAGAAAGGTTATTCACACTATCTGGGCTGGGTGAAGAGAGGGCAACTGAAATTAAAGACAGCGCTTTATCAGAAAACGTTTCCGTACTCTCCAGATTTGCAGCAACTTACTGAAGGGAATAAAAAGGAGAAAGTTAAGAGATTAAAGTGGCAATGACAAAGGAGCGACACTACTTAGACTAATGACTGAGAGGAACTTGAAATCCTCACACATAAGGTGATGATCAGCTGTGATGGCTAACGT